AGAGAAATCAGGATACAGTTCTATAAGGTATATTCAAGTATTGCTGGATTACTTTTGGAAGAAATTCAGACTGCAGGACCTGAAATATTCAAAAAGTCCTTTCCGAAAGGGAAAATTAACCGCTTCATTATAAACCGAGTACAGGCTTACCAGAAAGAGCACTGCAAAGTAGGTACATTGTTGCAGCTTTGTGGCAGGGGAAAACTGCAGGGCAATGAAAGCTGAGGGAGGCAGAGTGAAAAGAGAGGTTTTCTTTAAACAATCAAAACACAAAACAGAATTGGTTTAAATAGAGGCCAAGGTCAAACAAGATACCTTTCTAGTCAAGAACAGATAAGTTCTGCTTGTTCTTAATGGCAGAACTTACCTGGGCCTTTGGTGTGCAACGTGCAACAAATATCTGCTTGACTTAGCTGTGTTTTTTACAGTATTTTTGAATAAAGTAAATTATACATTGGCTGAATTCCTATTGCTTAGCATAGTAAGTTGCAGCAGAATAGTCTCATTGATTTAGTGGGGCTTTGGTGAGTGGATTTCTCTAAATTCCATTGGGCATAGTCTGGTTGTCACTTCAGTATAGTAATTTGCAGCTAGAGTAGACTGATTTAAATCAACAGAATTTACGGAGACCGTGACTTTCAAAATCTCCACTGATTCAGTCTGACTAGCATGACGTACTGTGCTAGCAATAGGATTTCAGACAATGTCTTCTTTTTTTATTGCTTTCATAGCTGAAGAAAACTAAACTTGTTTGTCTTATTCTTCAAATTTTATGCTACTTGTAGAAGTGAGACATGGACAATAGTCTTGTCCTTTTGAATGGCCACAAGAATGCACTAATGTACGTTATGATTTTGACAGTGAAATCAATCAATCACTGAATCACTCAATCAATCAAGTGATTCCTAAATGATCAATGAGGAGCCATTCTGAAAGACATGGGGATGGCATCATTTCAGACTTCCTCCTTTTACAAAACTGCACTCACCTTTCCAATAATTGTATGAATACATTCAGGTGAAATGTGATCCTACTCAAGAATTTTTAGGAAACATTAGAGGTTTTCCTTACTAGGTTGTTGTTAGATCTAACACTGCTCAAGGTTCTTATGTATTTATTTATTATGGTTCTTGAGATAAAAGTGAGATATAAATACTAAATGTTTTATTCAATTGTTGCAAGATGGCTTTATTTTGCCAGAACTAATAAAAGAGAATACATTTTTTAGAGAAAGTAATATGCTTCCTGTTCTTATCTTAAATGTAGCTGATCACACTGCAAAACCCATTTTATTTCTTTTCTTTTCAGGTATGTAGATGAGTACAGAAAAACAGAATATGATGCAGCTGTAAAAATTCAGAGCTGGTTTAGAGGATGCAAAGTCCGAGCATATATCAGGTAACGAGGTTTATAACCAGATCATTGACATGATTACTTAGAAGTGAAAGCCCCATTTGAGAATTTGCGGAGTAAATAAATTTTTAAAAGTCTGTTCTGCAGACTCAGAAGCTGCTACAAATCCTAAGTTTCAATATGAACCTTTCCACGTTTAAATTTATGTTTTTCTGGTCATCTATTCCTGTTTACTATGGTTGTCATAAGCTGATACTGATGTAAAAGTGTTACGTTTTCACAGATTTCTTATTTTTTATATTATGTTCTCAATCTTTATGTTCTATGTAACATATTTACATTGTAAAAGGAACAATATTTAGCTGTTGTAAAGATCTAAATGCAATTGTCAAGTTTCAATTAGAGCAGATCCATTGACTCAGCATCTGAACAATAAGGTGGTACTTAGATCACACAGATTTAGTTGGTCTATTCTAGTAGATAATAGCAATTGCTTTTAAGCCTTAGTATCCACTCCTTATGTTACAAGCAATCAATTCAAAATTGCCATTTTGAATTATATTGTCATTGTTGTTTTTATTTCATTATATTACTTTTATGTCTTATTGTTAGCTGCCCATAGTAGACTTCGGTTCAGATGGGCGGGATATAAATCAAATGAATGAATGAATGAAATCATAAAGACTTTAGCTGTCTTTTACTACATCTTGCATTTAGAATGCACATTTACTCTAAAAACCTTTGCAAACCAAAATTTTTCTAAAAATTGCAAATCAAAATTTCAAATGCAGCAGCTGCTGAACATTTTGCTATTTGGAAGGAGAAAACTGAATTCCTCCCACCCAGTGCTACTTTCTCATCAAGATATTTTGTTTTAGGCACCTGAACAAAATGATGGTTTTTATCCAGAAATGGTGGCGGGGTTATCTAGGAAGAAAAAAATTCAGAAAAATGGTCAAGGTAAAATTAAGTCTTATAACTTACAGTTATTATAAACTGTTCATAACACTGTGTCTCAACGCAAAGTATGTGAAATCTTTTATTGAACCAGATATTCAAATTTCTGAGTTCTCAGGCAGTTGTAAATATTCAGAATTAATGGAAAATGGAACATAACACTAACTTGTCTAGGCTGATGGGGAAAAAAAGAAATATAAAATAACTTCTATCTGAGGGAGTATGATGAGGCTTAATTTTTATAATATTTTATTCTGTGTATCATGCTGTATAAAGGCAAGTAGAGTCAGAAGTATGTGTGAAGAATGATTGGCAGGTACTAAGTGTTTGGAAAGGAAGTTGCACATAAATAATGATTGGTGGCAACTGAATGAGGAAAGTGTTATGAGAATAAAGTCATACATGTTAGCTGGACAAAGTTATATGAGGATGGGATTGTGGGTGAGATAGGACTGAGATTTTATAGAGCAGGAAGTTCAAATGGGTGGAAGAGACTAGCCCTATTCATGCATTATTTATACAGAATGCATAGGGATAGAGGGAAGTATTCTACTGGTGCACTGTTCGTCGTCACCTCTGTCACCCCTTTATACATAGAAGGTGATAAGTATGAATAAAGACAGTGTCTACATGAGTCAGGACTCTGAAAAATCAGGATTTCGACTTCCGGAGACTCTCAAAAGAAGTGGAGCCGTCCCTCTACGTGTAGAACTATTTCCACATGAGAAAACCAGGGATCAACAGGGTGGGGCTAGGAACTTGAATAAGCCTGCTCTCTTTTCAGTCTTAGCTTGTCAAGAACATTATCTAAGACACTATAAATGGGGCTGATGGTATGGGAGGGACTGGATGCCTATTCTCCATACAAATCACTCATTGCACTGAAATGAATATTTCCTTTCCTTTTGAAAAGATATCAAGATTTAAACTTTGTGTAATTTAAAGACAGTATAGGTGTCCAGTGCAGAACCCCAATTACTATTTCCCTAAAAAAAGCTGTAGAGGTGACTGTTATGGGTGCTGTTAGACCTTCTTGGTCCTTGAGCTATTATAAAATTCACTTTCTGTAATCTGTGTGATACAGGAAGATATGTGATGTATCATGTGAATTTGAAACAATAGCTATCTCTGATCCACAATGTCCCTCTCCTTGCTGAAGTGATTGGATACAGGCAGGGTTTGAAAAATGGACTCACCCACTCATCTGTGACAAGTGAAAAATGTTGCTGGATGAGTCACAGCTCCTTCCCTCCCGGCCTCCTTCCCCTCCGCCTCTCTCTTTCTCTCTCTCTCTCATCCTGCGGTCCTCCCCTCCCATTGCAAAAGGAAAACTGCTGTCTTCTCGCAAGAAGAGAGTTCGAGCAGTACATAGAGATATAGCTCTGCAGGAGAATGTAGACTAGTCCCTTGCTGGAGAATATGTAGATTCCCAGCTCCCGATTTCAACTGAACGAGGACACATCCTGGGGTGGGAGGAAACTGTGGCTCCTTAAGAGGCCAGGTGCTTTTGCTGTCAGTTTTATTTTTGCTTGAGACATTCAAAAGAAAGGCATTCAAAATATAAGCTTCATGACCCCATAGACATGCAGATAATAAAGCAACCCAAGTCTGAGGGTATAAATCAATGATTCCCAATAAATTGCAAGGCTATAGTCCGGTCATGCTGTCTGGTGAAATTTTTGACTGACTGGTGAGACATTCTAAAAAATTTTCAAGCCCTGGATGATGGGCAAAGCTATGGGGCAAACATGAACATAAAGAAGAGAAACAGATCCAGGTTCCCTATGTTCTTTCATTTGTTGTGGTGTTTGGAAAAGTGAACTGATCACCAAGCAGATATAAATTTGACCCTAAAAACATCAGAATTCTTTAGTTTTTCATTTCTAAAAGAGGCTCTCCTCTGATTATTTTTGGGAGCAATATTTTTAAATATTATTAAGGGACCAATATTTTTTTAAGGTCAGTATTTTTAAAAAAATCCCTTTAATTAAAATAAAAGGAACTATGTTTTTCTGAATATAATGAAGGAATCGAATTTAAAATTAAGTAGCATCATTGTGTTCATTTGTAAATAACATATTGCAGCCAACTGTTTCTTAATTGCCCAGACTGTTGATAAATAATCCAGTCCTGCTGCTCTCCACAGACAATTTGCTTTGGATCAGTCTAGGCAATTCAAATAACACTAATTACAGAGAAACCCTTTTGCACTGAATTCTTATTTGTTGGAGGAGGGAATAGAGTAAAAAGGCAACTATGAGCAAGGAAAAGGATCCCCCCCCCTCTGATTTGTAGTTAAAATACTGAGTCTTCCCCCAAAGTCAGTATGCTATGCTAAATAAAGGACATCATCTTCCTCAAAACTACTATTTTGCTTTTTTTATGATACAGTTATGAATTATGTTCATTTTGCATTTGTAATTAGAGGGTGGAACAGATGTGAAAGCTTAGTGTAAAGTGATGTATCCATTAAAATAACCTATCCTGCCAAGTGTGTGTCTGCTGTAACAGGAGGGTCTTGCGCTTAGAGCGGGATTCATCTTTATTGGAAAGGAACCAGGAAATGTTTTCTATATCAGGGGATTCACTGTAACATGTTATCATTGTATTTATGATTTTATGATGTTAGAATGAATATTAAATGAAAGAAAATTCCCAAGGATTACTCGGGAGGCAACTAAGTACATAACATTTAGTACAGATGGTTGGAAGGCACAATTTTGCTCCATCACTGCATCCATATCCTTGAACGATTTCGACTGAAGACAGCATTTCTTTGAATTTTTCATTAAACCAGACGTCTTGAAATATGAATTCCTTTTATGTTTCTGTGAGTTTTGGTTAAAAGAACCCCAGTGAATAAATCATACAATACTACGTGTCACCAGCACTTGTGAATATTTCTGCTTTGTTATTCTACTCTCAGTAGAGCACCATTGATTATCAAACTCAGCGGAGAGCATTTTATGATCATATATCTCCATTAGCTGCTAGTTTGACTACCATAGATTTTTCTGGTTAAGCCTGCATTATGCATTAGGAAGCCTATCTCTTCAATACAAAGTTTGATTTTATTCTTGCTAAGCCTAGAACTCTTATTATGTATTATGTATAAAGATTCTTATCTTTTATATGTAAAAATAGAAGTACTGTCTTTGTGTAACTGAAACGTATGCCATATCTTCCCCCCCTTCTTGATTCACAGACAGCATATTTTATTATGAAGATGAATTTCTACAATGAAATGGCTGTCAGGGTAAATATTTCTTCACTTGTTAAACAAATGAAAAGTCAATTGTGCTCTGAATTTGCTTTTAATAAAATGAGCAACCCAGAATAATATAAACTTGATTGATATGCTGATGGTAAAGTGAGGAAATGGTACATAGTTATACATTTAAAGTTACACTAAGTAGTCTGGGTTGCATTTTTGAACATTTCTGTTAGATTAAAGACAGTGATGTATAAATTATAGTCTCTTCCAAATATTGGGTCACTTTATTATAGTAGGTGAAAATATGATTTGTTTATTTATGTATTCGTGTGACTTTACATATTTACTTATATCCTGCCTTTCATCTGCAGTGATATTCAAGGTGGCATATATAGGTTTGCAGGTGGGCTTCCATCCATACCCATACCTGTTTAGGTTCAGCAGTTCTGATTTGTCACATATTTCAAGCTAGGTATTAAATGTACATGGATTTTATCCTATCCCGCTGAGTCTGGTGCATAGGTGTCTGAGGAAAGCTAAGTTTATGTATTTTGTTGTACACACGCATGTGTGCATGCACACACACTCAAGAACATCTACAGAGTTAGACAGCAAGAGATTTAGAATGATCCCAGAGGCCGAACCTATGTCTGGCCTTCTGAATTGGACTTCCTGCATTACCTTGCAGCAATGCATCCATGGGCTAGAAGAAAGCAGCTGTTCATGATTTAGTCACTCTGAAATTTTTCAGGATTTGTACACCCCAGAAATACAGTGATAATATAAGTGTGGTGTATGATGTAAGTTTGTTATGTGCTATCAAATTGGAAAAGACTTATAGGAACCCTAATAAGAATTTCAAGGTAAATGAGATCTTTATAGAGTGATTTACCAGTTCTACACTCCAGTGAGTTTCCATGGCAGAGCAGGAATTCAAACCCAGGCATCCTGAGTTCTAGTCCATCACTCTATCCACTATACCACACTGAGTATGTAAATTTACATGAATATAATTTAGACTTCATATGATGTTTATAGTCATGGGACTGAGTGTAATAACTTTCAGGCATAACTTAATGTAGTTTTAGAAGATGTAGCCTTGTTAGTCTGTGCTAGCAGATCATAGAAAAAAAATAAAATAAAGACAAGAAAATAGACTTGTTCACGAAAGCTTACATCAAAACATAGCAGTTAATCATTAAGGTGTCACAATGTTTTTGTTGTGTTTATATATTTATTTGCCTTAATGTACTCTGTTTCCTTTTCATAAACTCTAGAAATATTAGGAGATAGCTTATAGTATGCCAACCATTGGCAAAGAAGGGTTGTTTTATCATGTTTTAATGGAATTTTATTACCCTGACTGATCTTACCAAGCCATAATTATATGTATCTATTTTATATTGATTTGGTTTTACTGGTCTTTGACCGTAGTAAAGTATTGATTTTCATAAACTCTAGAAATATTAGGAGATACCTTATAGTATGCCAACCGCTGTATTCATTATCTTATCACAGTAGCCAGGGGCATTTGCAGGGGTGCAGCAAGTGTGCAGTTTTCCCTAAATGAACCATAATACTCAGATTTGGTGCTTTCTTTCTTGCTTGTTTTCCTTTCCTTTATCCAAACAGAAAAGATATGAGGATACTGAGATCTAAGCCAAAATGTGCGACCACTATTCTGCCCTTTTACTTTGTAAGCAGCCAGCCTGCTATCTCAGTGTGTCAATATTGCTAGCCAATCAATTAAATTGCACAACTGACCGGTACAAACCGGCTGTGGAGAAGGAATGTTCTGGTTCATTTTAAAATTATTATTTTAGTATTCTTAGGTACAAAGTGATTACTGCCCATAAAAAGTAGACGAATCAGGAATCCAGGAGTTTAATGTAGCTTTGATTCAGAGGTATCATGTCGCTGCCCACCCATCCCTAATGGGAGGGGCAAAGACAGGATTCATGAGCCACAATTGTTGTCAAGTAGCCCAGTATTGCCAAAACAATTTAACTATTGCAACTCAATCCCTGAACCCCATTTCAGCAAATAATTGTAATCTGTTCCATGTTTTAATCTTTTAGTTTAATTTTAAATCATGTATTGTTTAATTTATCTTTTATTAACTTATTGTGTTTTTAAGTTGTGTGAATCTTAATGTTGTGAGATGCTTTTGGTCCCTTGCTGGGAGAAATGTGGCATATAAATAAAACTAATAAATAAATAAATAAATAATACATTTTGTTGTGGGGAAATAGGATGCTCTGTAAGAAACCTACAATGTAGTCCATTGTTATTATTTAGTGCCCTGGTGTGTTGGCTTTTCTATAGGGAAATGCAGGAGAGGGGTCATTAAGTTGATTATTGCTGCAGTGCAATTCATTAAGGAGTACAGTATGATCTAATGTATAGCATATCAGATGAAGATTTCAGATCCCTGCTCTGCCATGGGAACTCACCAGCAATGGCAAACGACTCCTTGAACATCTCACATACCTCAAAAATCTTGTTAGGGTTGCCATAAGCTTCATGATAAGTTGTAACAACAACAGAGGGGCATTGCCTAAGCTGAGGTGTAGGGGGGGGGGGGAATCTGAGTTCTCTACAGCAAGTGGGAAACATAATGCATTAATGGTCAAACTGCAACTTCTGAGGATTTTTCTCCCACTGTATTTAGATTTCTAAAGCACTGTTGGGCTGTTATGCCTATATCCAGGTAGGACTTAAAGAGCTGTAAGAATGGTCCAGAAGACCTAAGCCATCCCCCTAGGCACCTACCTTGAAGCCCTTTGCATGTTTAATGTGGAGGTTTGTATTGTGGACTGTAAGCATGATCTGAACTCATTTATGGTGCTTTTATGATCAGGACCCCTGATAAGGCATAACATCTAATCACAAGATCACTATGCAGCTAAATGCACTTACAGGCTCCACTTCATGTTGAGCAGAGATCTGAGAGACTTCCAGATAGGATGGGGAGATGGACTGGGATTCACAGGTGTTTTCCCAGTCCCATCCCTCTTTCAGCTGTATCCAGATATACACAGCATCTGTTAGAGGACTTAATTGAATATTGAATAACATTGAATATGATGCCAAGGCTCAAACTATATCAAAAACCACAAGAAAAAAGTGCAGGTGTGTTGCATACATATAACTTTGCCCTCCCCCCCATTGAATCATTCTTGCAGACAACTATAATCTCACACATAAAAAGGAATTTCTTATCAGGTGCTTCTAACTCAGGGCAGAACTGTTCATGGAAATAGGTACAGTACATAAATGATTCCCAACATTATAAAGTACTGTACAGCAGCCTGGATGTATATGGTTGTCCTGCAAGGATCATTGAATAAAGCTGGTCATTATTGAAGAGATGGGAAACAGGTGGCTGGCAAAAGCAAACATTATTGATGCTATTGCTGATTATCTGACAACACCTCTGTGTGTAGTTTTGGTTCTCTATAGAAGGTTGTAAGGGAATTTCTATGTGGTGCTGTGCATTGATGAAACTGTTCAGTTGAAACCTCTTTCGATCTAACTGATTGCATTTTTATCTGTCTTTTCTCTGAAAGAGTTATACATGTTTCTTCTATCTGCTGCATCATTTTCATAATAACTATGTTTGATAGGTTACGTTATTAAAGTCTTAGATTGGAGTTCTTATTTATATCATCATATAGTCTATTCTTTGAATGACTTCTAAAGATTTTTAGATGGATTAGGACCATTAGTAAATTGACCAAACAACTTTCATCAACTTACTAACGGTAAGAGTTTTGTTGCTGAATCTGAACCCAGTTTTTCCAGATCCAAGTACCATAACATAATCACACTGTTCATGACTGCAGTGGAGAATGAAGAGACACATAGTCTGTTCTATGTCAGTGTAAGCTTAACGATACAGAGTGGTTTCACAAGAGCAGCTATCAGGAACAAGAACTAGATTACAATTGCTGGTTCTACGTAGGTACATAAAGCTTCTACTATCTTCGACCATTCTCAATGGGGGCCATATTGCCCCCTGGGGGATCCTGGCACATTTGAAGGAGGCCACAGACTGGAAACAATTCTTCACGCAACACCTTATAAGGTGCATTATGTGATTTATACTACCATGAATCGTCCTGTAGTTCTTTCATATTGTGTTTATAGCCATGGCCGAAAAAGGTTAAGAATGGCTATTTTAGATTCTCAATACTGTATTTTTGTTCCAGAGAAAGAGGAAGGATTTGGTAATATGAATTTGGAGGGTGTGTTCAGGTTTTATGGGCAATGCAGTGTGAAGATCCTACACAGACTCTGGTTTCCTGCTCCCACAATACATAATTTCCGTATGATTTAGAGATTTAATAATTTTACTTTATTTCAATTTGCACTTGACGTTCAGCAGAAAAAATGCCAAAACTGCTGTAAATTTTGTATTTTGTACTAGTACAATATTAATGAAATCAGTGGGATTATACTAATGCAAAACTGGAGAATAATCTGAAAATTAATCTTTGTGATAGAATACAAAATAAAAATCCCATATGCATGTATCTGGTCTACCAAGATTTTCATTTGGTCTGTGCGTACCACTTGCCTACTGCGTACTACATTGTAATGGCTATGGCTACACACAAACGTGTCTTTCTTGCATCCTAAGTATAGGCTGGTTGCTTTAGGTGAAAAAGGAGGAGAAATGGTTTTCAGTTCCAGGAAAAGAAACCTTGGCAGGCCTAATATAGCTCAGAGAATACAGCTGCCCGCACTTTGTGCCATTTACAAATACAAAATACCTGCAGCTTTGAAAAACAGTTTTTAAATTAGGTGTAGGAAGAAAGGGGAAGTGCCTGGCTAGTGTAATGGATTCTGTATCATATGTTCTTTAATGCTCTCCCTTAATTATATCTGACCTGCCACTGTCAAATTCCACCTTTTGAACAAGAAGAAAATCCCAAGGAAAGCAATTATTATAATGCATATTTTCTCCACAATTCAGATTTACCTTTGGAATAATAGGTTGTAATATATTGGTCTCTTTCATTTGAAAGACTGAAGGGTCGCTATGAATTTTCAGCAACAAAGATCATTCCTGTTTTTTTTAAAAATATATATATATAATATGAGCAGATGGCTTTTGATATATCAAGGTTTTACCATTTGCTTTAGTGCTTAAAATAAACATTATTTATAAGACCACTTACATTTTGATGTTACTTAATGAGGAATATGCATCATTGATTTGACTAGCTTAAGAGGTCATTTAGAACTTGCCCGTTAACAAGCTGTAATCTGCTGAGCACACAATGACTTTGTTTAAAATTATCTGTTTGGTACTGATCAATGACAATAATTGTTTGGTACCAATCACCATTGAAACTTGCTAATTACTTTGAAGGGCATACACACTTACCTTTTGTAGGAATGTGTAAATATTCACCTTGGAAACAGAAAGTGAAGTAATAGGAATGTTTTTTTTAAAAAAATTTTTGAGAGACCACATGTGTGTATAAGGTATATATACTATATTGAAAAGCACTAGGAAAAAATTAAGCATGTAAAGATATTGAAAATATTGTGTTTTGTTCAGATGACAGGTGATTTAGTCTATATAAAACAAATTGATTGCAAAGGTTAGTAGGGAAAATTTGTGTACACAGACTTCCTCATGGAAGTGTTTCCATATATTTTGGACTACAATTCCCATAAACACAATAAAGATCTCTATGGGATTATCACAATGGTAGTCCAGTACATTTGGATGACATCAGGCCAAAGAAGGCTGGCCTACGATATTTGTGCTCAAAAGTATCTGATGAAATTACATGAAAGGGGTAATGCAAAGGGGATGATGCTTTTGAATTGTGATGCTGGAGGAGTATCTTGAGAGTCCCCTGGACTGCAAGGAGAACAGACCTATCAATTCTGAAGGAAATCAACCCTGAGTGCTCACTGGAAGGACAGGTCCTGAAGCTGAGGCTCCAATACTTTGGCCATCTCATGAGAAGAGAAGACTCCCTGGAAAAGACCCTGATGTTGGGAAAGTATGAAGGCAAGAGGAGAAGGGGATGACAGAGGATGAGATGGTTGGACACTGTCATCGAAGCAACCAACATGAATTTGACCCAACTGTGGGAAGCAGTGGAAGACAGGAGGGCCTGGCGTGCTCTGGTCCATGGGGTCACGAAGAGTTGGAAATGACTAAAGAACTAAACAACAATCTCTGATTCTAGGCATCAACACCTTTTGATTTAGTAACCTTGTTACAGTTCACTAGCTAGGTATTTTGACTAGCTTCCTCAATTGGCATCCAATCTTGGGCTTCCTTAGAACACAGAAAGGAAGTCTAGCAGCTGTTTAAGGCTAATGGCATAAAGTGCCAATAGTGCAAATAATAACAGATCCAAGGATGTAGCATGGTGTGTGTACAACCTAAATTTAGTCTTTGGCTCTGATGATACAGGGATGACCATTTTTTTCCTGTGCTTTTGATCCTAGTCAAGTTAGGGGCCTTGAAAAGGCAATGAGCAGTTGCCGCAGTTTCTACTAACCCACTAAATGGTGTGGGATGGATAGGAACCGTGGCTGGTGCTTCCCAGCAAGCTGTAAGCTGATACTTTGAAACCTATTGCCCTTAACACCCTGAACCAGCCACCAAGTCTGCATTCCACATCTTGCAGAACACAAGGGCTAACACTCCAGACCAAATTTTAAAATGTTTTTGTGTTTTCCCTATCCCCTGATTTTGACACCATCTTGCCTAACAACGAGTTCTGAAGAATTCAAAATCTTATGCTTTGTCACTTTTGTAACATTTAAGTAATCTTTAATAAAAGGTTTTGAGTCCCAGTGTAGTGGATAGAATGTTACACAAGAACTTCAAGAGGCCTGAGGTTCAGATCTTTGCTCAGCCACGGAAATTCAGAGGGCTCAATGGCAAACCACTCCTTGAACATTTCACATACATCAAAACCCTATTAACATGGCCATATATCAGAATTGACTTGATGGCAGATCACAAGAAAAAAATATTTTTCAACTCTGCATGTTGTTTTTACTTATGGATCACATGTAAGTTTTTTATATGTGGGGAAAAAATCATAATTCAAAGCCAATATCTTACTCCTTACTCAGTATCTCTAGAAACAAGGAAAATGATGATAGAAGCCATGTATCTCCCTAAATGGAAGAAAAGCACTACTATGCTTCTGTTAGCTCTGTTGCAGGCACCAACTGTTGCGCAAGTCTTTCTACAAGGTAGGGGTATAGCCTTGCCCCTCTCATCTGAACCACTATTCCAGAATGTCTCGATACTCCAAGGTCTTGTTCCTTAAGTGTGCCTAAAGTGGAAGAGGGGGAACGTCAATCTGGCAAGGGACTAGAGTGGAAGATTGTTACATTCTATAGAGTGTTGAAAAGAAAGAAGACTAATTTTTATTGTTCAGTGAGCTTATGAAGCCCGGTTTTAATGACTTTACATATTTTTGTTGTCGACAATTTATTGCTTGGATCACTTTAAAAAAAACTGGAGAGGTTTGAATCATTTCCAGCTTGTTCTGTTTGCCTCCGGTAAGAAAGATTAACTATCTGAAAATAATGAAGGAAAGGAGCCGCCAAGGCAGCAGCTCTTTCTCTGTTGTAAATACAGTCCAACTCTCTCATCCTTGGGAGTTCAGGGAAAAGTGATGCTGGGGAAGCAGATGCTTCAACTTGTCCAGCCTTCCTTATGTATGCTGAGGAAGCCTTCAGGGTGCTTCTAACCAGAGCAAGCAGGATAGCTTTTCGTGTGATTATATAAAGCCAGAGCATGGAAGTATTAACCTTCCATGCTACAGCTTCGACAATTCCACAACCATTGGACAGTTTCTACTACAGTATGTATTATTCTTCCCCAATTCGATACTCTCTGGACATTTTAGATGACAGCATCCATATTATTTTATAATTTCACATGTTGGTTGGGGTTATGGAAATTATGACCTAAAACTTCTAGAGAGCACTAGATTGGATTATGTTGATATATGTGATTAACTTTAATTTGATTAACTTTGCTTTTTGATTATAATAATACTTATAATTTATCTTAGTGCTACTGTAGCAGCGGGTTGTTCTTGTTGTTTAGTCGTTTAGTCGTGTCCGACTCTTCGTGACCCCATGGACCAGAGCACGCCAGGCCCTCCTTTCTTTGTAGCAGCAGTACCCTACCTTGATTAGGGGAATTACTATATTTCTATGCAGAATACATCATGCGAAAGGCTGGACTGGATGAATCGCAAGCCAGAATTAAGACTGCCAGAAGAAATCTCAACATCCTCAGAGATGCAGATGATAGCACTCTGATGGCAGAAAGTGAGGAGGAATTAAAGAACCTCTTAATGAGGGTGAAAGAGGAGAGTGCAAAAAATGGTGTTGAAGCTCAATATCAAAAACTAAGATCATGGCCACTGGTCCCATCACCTCCTGGCAAATAGAAGGGGAAGATATGGAGGCAGTGACAGATGTTACTTGTTGGGCTCCATGACCACTGCAGATGGTAACAGCAGCCACGAAATTAAAAGACGCCTGCTTCTTGGGAGGAAAGCGATGACAAACCTAGACAGCATCGTAAAAAGCAGAGACATCATCTTGCCGACTAAGGTCCGCATAGTCAAAGCTATGGTTTTTCCAGGGAGTCTTCTCTTCTCATGAGATGGCCAAATTATTGGAGCCTCAGCTTCAGGATCTGTCCTTCCAGTGAGCACTCAGGGCTGATTTCCTTCAGAATGGATAGGTTTCTTCTCCTTGCAGTCCAGGGGACTCTCTCAAGAGCCTCCTCCAGCACCACGATTCAAAATCATCAATTCTTTGGCGGTCAGCCTTGTTTATGGTCCATCTCTCATTTCCATATATCGCTGCTGGACCCTGTGATTATATAATCACAACCCTGATGTTGGGAAAGTGTGAAGGCAAGAGGAGAAGGGGACGTCAGAGAACGAAATGGTTGGACACTGTCAGTGAAGCTACCAACATGAATTTGACCCAGCTCTGGGAAGCTGTGGAAGACAGGAGGGCCTGGCATGGTCTGGTCCATGGGGTCATGAAGAGTTGGACACACCTTAACAAACAACAACATACTGTACTTCTAAAGAGCCTTTGATCAACACATCCTCTTATAATCTCTTTCCCGTGTACAACATATTTCATAACTGTTATTTTAAATTTGCTTTAAGCCTTTTAGAAAGCTTGTTTGTTGATATATTATTTTTCCTGACACCCTTGTTATTGGACAGGCAAATATGTACACATTCCTAATGTTAAAATAGTATTGTCCCTCACAAAATAAATCAAATATTTCTTATAAGTGTTGGATGTGCTTTTTCTCCTACAGATTCAAAAAAGATGGCGAGGCTATTACATCCGAAAATATATCCATAATTATTATGCACTGAAGAAGTACCTGGAAGCTATTGCTTTGAATAATGAGATGGTCAGGTAAAGATAAAGTACTGAATGGTAAAACTTTCGATTCCTTTTTTAAAAATTTCTGAATAGTTTATGGAGCTAATTAAATTATTTCTTCATGGAAAGAATTGCCTCTATTATCCAATATATAAAGTAGACTTCTTTTACCCTCTCTTTATAAGCACATGCTGCCAAATTATGATCTCGGTTATACCACTATGCATGATGCCAATATGATTCTGTTGAATTCACTGGACTGAGCCCAAAACTGAAATACATGCAACAGCACCAAAGTTATCTCCTTGCAGTTGCACAGAAGAAAATGCTCCAGAGTTTTTGTGTGACTAAGCCTGTAGAATGGAATGGCACAAGAGGCCTGGGCAGAATCCTGGTTTCTTATGTAACTGTGTGACTACATAGGTATTCCCTGCCCTCCCCATCCCCCAGCTCCCCTTTGCACACCTGGTAGTGGCTGCAGGGCTGTCAAAAAAACTTATTTTGACCAAGCTGTTCTAGTGCATTATTGGGCTCCGCTGCTGAGTGAAAGTACATACTGTATCTAGCTTGCGCTTATTACTTTTTTTAGGCACACGTTCAAGACTTGCCTGTGTTTGCCAGCTTTCCCAGTTTAGTTCTGCTTTCCCATTTATATATAGATAACATAAGTGTTGTAACTGGATGTTGTGTATAGTTTGTATTCTATTGTTTGATTATTGTTGTATACCATTTTTAACTCTTCAGATATAAATGGCTTATGAATAATTATACATTAATTGATAGGGGACTGAAAGAAGGAAGCATTGCTGGACCAATTTAATTCTTCGTTACAGATGATGAGTTTAACTAAGAGCTGCGTGCGATAAATAATTTGTTTAAATTTCCCTCCTTGCAGTGGGCCTGGTCAAGTGCAGATCCTGATTCAGGAGCAGGTTCCCCACCTAGCCACCTCTGTTGAAACTCAATGGCTTTAAGTCCCAAAGCCATGTTGTCCTTAACAGTCCAACTTCTGGAAGACTTTCCCAAGGCACTCTCCACCCAGGCCTTGAAATCTTAGATTCATTCTGCATTAGGATGGTCTCCGTGTGCGCCGCCCCCCCAAGGGCCAGCTCCTGAATCCCAAGATTTAAGGTGCAAAACTGCTGAATGCTGTTGAATGGCAAGGCATCCATAGGGAGTTCAGCATTTCCGTGGCTTCCTCTCTGCACAACCCATGAGCCTGTCCTCATATTACACTCAGCACTGTCCTAGACCAGTCCCTGAATCCCAAGATTTAAGGTGCAAAACTGCTGAATGCTGTTGAATGGCAAGGCATCCATAGGGAGTTCAGCATTTCCGTGGCTTCCTCTCTGCACCCATGAGCCTGTCCTCAGCACTGTCCTAAACTGTCTTTCGTCTTGAGGGCAAATTTCTGTCGAACAGACCGTATGTTCATATTCAACTCAAACATTCAGCCACTCTCACAATTGACTTAACAGGGAGAGTGGGTAATTCAAGGCTTGAATTTAAAGAAAGCCAAGGTGGACACAGGAAGTCTCTATAAAGCCTCTCAGTCCCATCCACCTTGGCCAGGAGAGAGGTGGATGTTAGCATCCACATGAGATCCCTCTAACCCAGGGGTCTCAAACATGCAGCCTGGGGGCTATTTGCGGCCCACCAGACAATAGTTTGTGGCCCGGGTTTTGCCTGCCCCCCCGAAGCGCC